CCTTCTCTCTCTCCCCTCTTTCCCTCTCTCTCTTTCTCCCTCCCACCCCCCCTCACCCCCCACCCTTTCAGAGTCTCAATCTAAACTGCTCCTCAGTTTCCCTGCCTAGATATCATTTTCCCCGGTCCCTGGCCCCTCTTTCCTTTAGTCAGTCAATAAGCATTTATTAAGTGACTACTGTGGGGTAAGCACTGTGCTAGCCCAGATGATATGAAGAAAGCCAAAGGCCAGTTCTTCTTCTCAAGGAGCTCAAGTTATACCAACTATGTAACAGCTATATAACAACTAAAACCCAACAAGCTGCAAACAGGAGAAAGTGGAGGTGACCCATAGGAGCAAGGCACAGCTCTTTCTACACTCACCTTTTAAATGACTTGCCCAGGGACACAGAGCTACCACGGGTCCTTGGAAGGACTTGAACCCAGATTTTCCTGGTTTCAAGGCCAGCTCTCAATCCACTGGGCCACAAGACGGTCTCAAAGGAACTTCCATGACTCTTCTCCCCTAACCCCACCTCTCCTCTATACTTTGTTATTTTTATTGGTGGCACCATCCCACCCCTCCAAGGCAGCTAGGTGGCACAGTGGATAGTGTTTACACTCTGGCAAGGTTATGCATAGTTAGGCAGAGGAGACATGCCCCATAGGTATGAATATTTATATATTATATAATTATATATTTATATGTAATATGATGATATAATATTATATATTATATTATGAAAATTTATAGCTAGTATTAATATAGCACCTACTATGTGCCAGGCACTATGCTAAGTGTTTTACAAATATTATTTCATTTGATCCTCACAACAATCCTGGGAGGTAAATGTTATTATACCCATTTTACAGTTGTGAAAATGAGGCAGAGAGAGGTTAAGTGACTTGCCCAAAGTCACATATCCCTAAGTGCCTGAGGATGGATTTGAATTCAAGTCTTTCTGATTCTAGGTTCATAGCCACTATGCCACTGGCCGCCTCTTCGGTCAAGTTTTTCCTACAGAACATTCATGAATGGTGTTCAAGGATGCCAACATGGAACATTGGTGCTAACATTCTGCTCCGAGTTCTAAATTTTCCTCCTCTTGTAAATAAATGATTAACAAATCAAAGGAAGAAAATATTTAAAAAACTCTCCCTATCCCAGTTCCCTGCCAAAGAGCATAAAGAAACCTGACAGAAGGGCATGTCTGGGCCCTAGTCTTTCTAAGCTCTAATACTGGCCAAATAAATATGCATTTAGAATGGGTTTAGAAAATGAACAGAACTAGACAAACACCATTCCTTTACCAAAAATAAGAAATGAGTGGGGGGAAAAAGCGTCTTGTTCTAGATTCTCCAAATATACAAGTCATGTTATAGATATGAAGGTATTTGAAAAACATTTCAAGTTCTTCTGTGGTAACTGTTCAGGAAAGGGGTATTTACTAAAGAACAGAGAAGTCAAAAAGAGATCTCTTTATGAAACTTGTTCTTAATGGCTAAAGCCCCTATTAATCTCCAGATCTCCTAACCCCACAGTTTCAGTATCCTGTTTCCTCTCTCCAATGCAGTGGATATAGTGCCAGGCCTGGAGTTAGACTTTTCTCCCAGAGTTCAAATCCAGCCTCAGACAAGTACTAGTTGTGTAATCTTGGGCAAGTCACTTCACCCGTTTACCTCAGTTTTCTCATCTGCAAAATGGGCTAGAGAAAGAAATGGCAAACCACTCCAGTACCTTTGTCAAAAAAACCTCAGTGGGAGTCATGAAGAGTCGGACACAATTTCCCCGGTGCAGCTGCCTGTACGAAACACAATTCCACAATCCCCCGCTAAATCACCCTAAATTGAGCATTAAGATTATCTTCGAACTTTTCAGTTAGCCAATAAACATTGAGTAAGTTCCTATGGTGAGTGCCAGGCACTGTGCTAAGCACTGAGGATACAAAGAAAGGTAAAAGACAGTCCCTGCCCTCAAGGAGCTCTCAGTTTGATGGGGGCATCCCCAAGCAAACAATTACATACAAGCAAGCTTCGTACAGAATAAAGTGGAAACACTCAACCTGTGAGCCAGTACAGCTGGTTGCACCGAGTGGGAAAAGTCACTCCACTAATAACAAAAGTTTAGAGTGTTAACTGGCTGGTTGTTTTTTAAAATTCAATCAAAGTCTAAATGGTCATGTTGCAAACCACAACAAAAACGCAACTAAACAAATAAAGTTCACACTCCTATTGCTTTGCTTCTTGGTCCTCTTTGTAAAACCAGTTTGAGTAAAAAAAGATAAAGATTGCAAACAATATCTCCCTCCTCTCCCCAGCACTTCAACCATCTGGGCTCCTTGATCCCTCACATATACTAAAATTGTGGCTTTCTGAAAATCGATTAAGGAAAAAACAAAATACCACTAAGATTTCACCAAGATGAGATGGCGAAGGCCAAGTTTTAAAATTCACTTAATTACATTTTTGTGTAGGGCTAAAACGGATGTGGCAATGAGCTATCTGAGTCCATGATAGACTAGTCTTACATCTTAACCTTGTAAACAAAGTAAGTCTCAAATAGTTCGGTATTTCAGACTCCAACTCTTCATCACCTGCTATCCTTCTCTCATTTACAATGAGGAGCCACACTGACCTTAAATTTCCCCATTAGCAGAAATAACTAAGAAATTAACTAAGTAACTCTTTTATTATCATCTCCAAAGTCAGGAAGGAGCAGATAGGCGGGGCAGTGCTGGGGCCTGGAGGCAGGAAAACCTGAGTTCAAACGCCTATGGCTGTGTGACCCCGGACAAGTCACTTTGCCTCAGTTTCCTCATCTGTAAAAATGAGCTGGAGAAGGAAATGACAAACCATTCCAGTATCTTTGCCAAGAAAACTCCAAACGGGGTCATGAAGAGTTAGACACTGGCTGAACAATAACGTATGGGCAAGGAAGGGTGGGAGGACTCCCTAGACCCCCGGAAAGTAGGACACAACTGAAAAATGACTGAACAACAGTAAGTCAGGTGCAGCTCAGGGGGAGGAAAAGGACACATTTTAACAAACCAGCAAAGTTCGGAGAATGGAATACTGGCATTTACTAAGCCCCAAACTTCAGAAGAATGACAGGACCTCAGGATTTATTTAATTGATGATGTGCTTATATTTCTTTAAATAATAAATAGTTCCCTTGAAACCTCACATTCAATAACAGGAAAAATCCCCATCTCAGATATTCTGTTTAGTGACTGCTAGTAGCTTGGCCCAATTCTCTAGTCCTTTTGCCTACACTCAAGGGCAACTGGGCCTCAGGTGGGTCTGCACCTTCTAACACAACATGTGTCAGAAGTGGGGCGAAGTAAAAAAGTCCCTCAACATTTTGTACATTAGCAAAGTGCCTTGCATAAATGAATATTCATTAGATGCATAAACATTTGGGAACTTTGAGATCATGGGATCACAGTTTGGACTGGATAGGGCCCTTAGAGCCCATCTTGTTTTACTGAGGAAACTGAGGACCTAAATAAGATTAGTGACTTGTTCAGGATCATACAAGTTGACATAGTATTTGAACCCAGGCCCTATGGATTCCTGGGATAGCTAGGTGGTACAGTGAGTGGGTAGAATGTCCAGACTGAAATCTTAAAGCCTGATCTCCCTGAGTTCAAAATGTGGCCTCTTATAGTTACTAGCTGTGAGACCTGGGCAAGTCACTTAATCCTACTTGCCTCATTTTCCTCATCTGTAAAAAGGCTGAGGGGCAGCTAGGTGGTGCAGCGAATAGAGAACCAACCCTGGAGTCAGAAGGACCTGAGTTCAAATGTGGCCTCCGACACTTGACACTTACTAGCTGTGTGACCCTGGGCAAGTCACTTAATGCCGACTGCCTCGTCTAAATAAATAAATAATTTTTTAAAAAATCAGCTGGAGAAGGAAATGGCAAACCACTCCAGTATCTTAGCCAAGAAAACCCCAAAAGGAGCCATGAAGAGTTAGACACCACTAAACAATAAGGGAGGGGGTCCTACCTAGCCCAGTATAGGGTAGAACCTGGAAACCATTCTTTCCTCCTGGGTTCAGAATTCCTGGGGGCCCACAACAAGCCTTGAAGAAAGGATTACCTCACTCTCCAAAATGAAAAGCAAGGTGGTAACCTAGGGCCAAGAGAAAATCTGAGAGATCCTATCCAGGTTCCACCGCCCCAGGGGCCTTCCCCAACTAGGCCCAACTAATTTGTTTACCTGTAGCGTCTGTCATTAGAAAGTAAGCTCGGAGAGGGCAGAGGCAGTGCTGGCTAAACTCTGCCGTTACAAACAAGGAACAGACACTGCCTCAGCCCTCCAGGAGCTCACGAACTCATGCCAGCCTGGGTCGAGGAGAGCAAAGAGACCACATGCAAACAATTGTGCACACGAGATTTATGCTGGGGAATAGAAACAGTCATGTTGGACGCTGGGCACAGGAGGATACAATGTATCTCTTACACGGTCTGCGCCTTGTGAGTTCACTGTCCTACAAACTGTCTCCCTCATTCGACAGTGAGCTTCTTGAGGGCAGGGACCGTGTCCAGTGAGCACACAGTATGCGCTTAATAAATGTTTTTTTTTTTTGCTTTAGTGCCACGATAAGAACGTAATTTTGATGATGTGCTTGGAAAGGGGGCCGGGAACGTCTGCATCCCGATGGTTGCGAGATCTGCGTGGTTTACACATTCACGGGTCCAGTGCGCGTGGAAGTGCGGGTGCCACGGTCAGGTGTGTCCCGCGCGGGCCGGGCAGGGGGGCCTAGGACGGGGCTGTTGCGCTCACGGCGCGGTGCCCGCCCGGAGAGAAGCCCAGGCCCGGCGGCAGGCACCGTACAAACTTCCTCGCAAAGTTCCCTCGGCGGAGCCGGGCTCAGCCCCGGGGTTCCTCCGCGGGCCGACCAGCCCAGCCCGGGCCCCCGGGCAAACTTCCCCAATTTCCGCCCCGCGGCAGCTCGGATTGTCAAGCACCTCCCCCCACCGAGTCGGGCACCGTCCCGCGGCCCCGCCGAACTCACCCATCTTCTGGACGTAGGGAGGGATGGTGCTGGCGATGCGCGTCCACAGGAAGAGGAGCAGCAGCCCCGGGCTCCGCAGGAGAGCCCGACTCATGGCCGAGCCCGCTCCGCCTCCGCATAGAGCGGGAGCCGGGCAGCAGCCGGGGCGGGCGAGGAGGAGGAAGAGGAGAAGGAGGAAGGGGTGGAGGAAAAGGAGCCCACCGGACTGGCCCGGCCGCCTCTGGCCAGCCCCGCGCCGCTTGGCCCCTGGCGCGCCCTAGCTCCGGCTCTCCTTCCCGGGGCAGATGTGCAGGCCAGATGTGGCGGCCGGGGGCGCCGGAGGCTGGCCGCGGGGCTCGGCTCTTCTGCGGCGGCTCGGCTCGCCCTGTGTGGATGGGTGTGTGTGAGTGTGTGTAGCCGTGTGTGGGGGTATGCGTGCGTGTGACTCACTCAACTTCTCGAGCCTGGGCTGGAGGGGAAACAGGAAATCTTCGCAAACAGCTGGGCAGGACCTCTCTCTGCAGCAGAGGCTGCGGCGAACTAAGTAGTTCCTTCTGGCTCCCCTCGGCTCTAAGTCCTCACATGCCTGAGCGTCAATCACTCCCCAGGCCAGCCCTTCGGCTTCCCCACCCCCTTCCCACCCTTCACCCCTTCCTACCCACCCACCACACCCACTCTGCTCACTGGCTTGCATGCTCTCAAACTTTCAGGCCTTTGACGATTTGAGCGAAATGGGGTGACCTTGGAAAGGGTCTGAATTCCAAGAACAGCACTTTAGCAGGGCCCCCCGGCATGCAACTCCAGCGGGATCCAAGGGATTTTAGAGCAGGAAGGGGGCCTTGCAGCCCCTAGGCCAGGGCTTCTTATCCTGGGGTCGCTAAACTTTTTTTTTTTTACCTGTAGTATATGTTCTGATCATGTGTATTTTGGCAAAATTGGCTTCCTTTATAATCCTAAATATTTTATGCATTTAAAACCATGATTCATAGGAGTCCATAACACAAAAAGGTTAAAAAAACCAAACCCTTGAACTGGCCCAAATCCCCAATTTCCTTCATTTTGCAAGTGAGAAAACCCGGGATGCTAAAACTGAGGTGCCCAAAGGCTCCCGGGCATTAATTGGAAAAGTCAAATATCTGCTTCCAATGCCAGGCTTCTGTCTCACTGTGCCAGCCCTTCCCTAAATGCCAGCAGCTTCCCTGAAGTGTCTTTGACAACTGCAGAGCCACCCTGACTGATGCCTGGAGAAGAGGCCTTCCTCTGCTCGAACTACAAACATTTATGAAGAGCCCAGTTGTGTACTGGACATCAGAGACACAAAAGCCTAGTTCAACAGCCCTTGCCTTATTGTGGGCATTTTAGATTATACAGGGTGTCCCAAAGGCCTTCCTGCAGTTTGGGAGCTAAAGCTTTATTGAGGGAGGGTGCAGCAACCTGGTAGACTCGGAGCTGGTCTCTCTGCCTCCAGTGTCTCCCCTCTCCCAGCCATCCTCCATACAGCTGCCAACGTGGTTTTCCTAAAGCACAGCTTTGACCCGGTCATTCCCTTGCTCAATGCATATCAGTGGCTCCCTCTTACCTTTAGAGTCAAATATAAACTTTTCAGCTTGGCATTTAAAGCCTTTCGCCACAAGGCTCCAAACTACCTTTTAAGCTTGATTATATATAGTACTGCCCTTAATACATCCTACGGCATACTTGGTATTCTTCATCTCCCATCTGCATGCCTTTTCACAGGCTGTCTCCCAAGCCTGGAAGACATTCTCTCCTCACCTCTGCCTCTTAGAATACCTTGTTCCCTACCATGTTCAGCTCATCTGCTACCTTCAGAGCAAGCCTTTCCTGATGTGTATGTCTGCATAGGTTCATGTACATGCATATGCATACATATACACAATACATGCATACATATATACATGTTATTTACACGCTATAGGTAGATATGCATGTGTATGTGTACACACACACACACACACACAAATGCATACCCTTACTGCACCCAAAGTCCCTCAAGGACAAGGATGTTTTCATTTTTGTCTTTGCATATCCAATACCTAGAACATAATAGATGTTTAATAATTGTCAGTTAGTTGGTTGATACTTTACTATCGGTTTCTTAAGGAACCCTATTATCTTTGAGGAAGATCCACATCATCTCTGATGTTGTTGGACTCGGGGTCAGGAAGAGCTGAGTTCAAATCTACCCTCTGGCATTTACTAGCTACATGGCCACGAGTATGTTACTTAACTTCTCTGGGACTCATTTTCCTCATCTGTGAGATGGCATCAATAATAGCTGTATTTAACCTGTATTTAACAGGGTTGTTGTGGGGCTCAGATTAGTATGTAAACCACTTTGTAAACTTTCACTCTTGGAAGATCCTTTGTTTGGTCATCGTGAAATGAGTTGCAACCACTGGCCAAGAGTCAAGAGAAAATGGCATTCTAGGTTTGGAGGCCAGCCTCTTAGAAGGCACGAGATAGGAGATGGAGTGGCATGGGTGGAGGTCAGCAGGTTTCAGAATCCAACGTAAAGATTTCATCCGCTTTGTCCTTTGGTGTTGATCTGGTCCTGGCTGAGCTCTTTTGCCTTATCCTGTGCCAGACTAGGTCCTCTTCAGTCCGAATCGTCACTCATTTGTTAGGGGCCCCTGCATGTTTTCATCTTAATTTTCAGCAATAGCCCCAAGTGCTTGTATCCTTAGGTCTCCCTTGCAAACCTATTCCCTGCAATGCATTAGTACTCCTTTTCTCATTCTCTTGATGGGGAAAGATGATCTGAAAATGAAATATACAGAACCTAGATTTCCTAGTTATTTCATAGTTTGGTAACGATCATGGTGTAGGGGAAAGAGCCCTAGATTTGGGATCCGTGAGCCATTTTGTTACCCGTGGGAGTTCCAGCAGGTCACTCCACCTCCCTGTCTGAGCCTGGGTGTTCTCAGCCATTAAATGAGGACGTTGGATTCTATTATTTCTAAAGTCCCTCCTAGGTCTAAATTTTATGAGAAGGTCCACCATAATGCTTTGAGATACAAGCTCTGGTCCCTCTAGCAAGAGGGTGATGTTACCACAACTTTCCTTTCCCTAAAGTAGAGAAGAGTTTAAAATCCCATCCTAGTTTTTCTAGAAAACAGCTACAGTTTCTCTCCCTCTCATGAATATGTTCGTTCATATGTAATAGGCTGGGGTGGAGTGCCAGGCCTGATGTCAGGAAGACTAAACTTCGTGAGTTCAAATCCGGCCTCAGATACTTTCTGGCTGTGTGACCCTGAGCAAGTCACTTTGCCCTGTTTGCCTCAGTTTCCTCATCTGTCAAATGAACTGGAGAAGGAAATGGCAAACCACTCCAAAATTTTTGCCAAAAAAAAACACCAAACCAAACCAAACCAAACCAAAACAAAACAAAAACCCAAATGGCATCACAGAGAGTTGGGCATGACTGAAAATGGCTCAACAACAATTGGTTGGGGCTGGTCTAGATGGCTTTTAATGTCCCTCCTGGCTCTAAATCTCTGACCCTGTGATCTTTCCTGCTGATCATGGAACTGCCTTGTTCGTCCACTTAGACTTGTCACAATGGCAGGGGTTTATGCAGTATTTGGAGGAGATCTTTGAAATCTTTTTTCCCTCTGTACTCGACTGTTCAGCCACTGCTGCTTATTAATGTTGTTGAGGTTGTGGTTGTAATTTGCCTTTAACATTCTCAGATTCCTCATCTACCTTATTTCATAGGATAATGTCTGAAGAGCTGGGAGGAACCTAAGAACTTTTCTAGTTCTATTCCTTTACCTTGCAGATGAGGAAGTTAGGACCCAAAAATGTAAATTACTTGCCCAGAGCCACAAGTGGAGATGCTGATGATGACAAGTATAGAGCATTTAAGGTTTGCAATTCACTTTTCATGCACCACCTCAATTGATCCCACAACAGCGCTGAGAGGTAGGTGCTATTATTATCGCCATTTTACAGATGGGGAAACCAAGTCAGACAGAGGTTAAGTGACTTGCCCAGTGTCACACAGCTGATGTCAGTTTAGATTCGAACTCAGGTCTTCATTATACCACCTAGACAATCCCAAGGCTTTTTAAAAATGTAAATCTTGGTATTTTCCAGTACCCTATTCTAATACTGTTCTCTGATGAAAACCTTGAGCAAAAGCTGATTTCAGCTTCTGAGTAACTTTACACTCCCCTTGAATGTAAGTGTGACCTTGGGCAAGTCACTTCAGCCTCAGTTTCCTCTAGTGTAAAGTGAGTGGATGGGAGTAGACTATCTCTAAATCCTTCCAGTTCTCCCTCTATGCTTCTGAGATCCTTGCTTCTCACCCATGGTCAGCCCGCCTCTTTTTGCCCATATACTCCCTCAATGATACTTTTTGTACCACATCTTGATGGTGGTCAATCATTGAAACTGTGCTATGCCCTCCATTTGCTCACGTTATGCTCCTCCCAAAAGTTCAAGAAGCACCTATTAAGAATCTACTATGTGGGGGGCAGCTAGGTGGCAAAGTGGATAGAACACCGGCCCTGAAGTCAGGAGGGCCTGAGTTCAAATCCGGCCTCAGACTAAACACTTGACATTTACTAGCTGTGTGACCCTGGTTAACTCACTTGACCCTGACTGCCTCACCAAAAAGGAAAAAAAAAAGGCCAAGGTCAAGACGGCTGGGGTTGGCCCAGGATTTGGTGGGTGACCTTGGCCTTTCTAAACTAAGGTCTTTGCTAGGATTATTGTGAGAATCAAAGGAGATAATATATGCCAAAGCTTATGTATCAGTGTTAGCCCTTATAATTGTTAAGTACTTACTGTGTATAAAGCCCTGGGCTAAGCATCATTGATACAAATGTAGAAACAAGACAATCCCAATTTTCAAGAAACTCACGGTCTAGAAGGGGGATCTAACAAATATAGAAAGTTTCAAAGCCAATGGAAAGGCCTGGGGATCTTAAGTCTTTTGTCTATCAAGCCAGAGCTGAGAGTGGATTCTAAAGGCACTGCTTTGTCAAAACAAGCCTGACTTTTTCTCTTTCTGGCCTGGCTGCATTTGAATGAGGAATCTGGGACTGCTGTCAGCCTCTGGGTGAGGAAGGAGGAAGAGACAGAGACAGAGAGACAGAGAGACAGAGAGACAGAGACAGGGAGACAGAGAGACAGAGAGAGACAGAGACAGGCAGAGACAGAGACAGAGAGAGAGACAGAGA